CCGGAAGAAGATCCCGCGAAGACGAGCTCTGCTGAGAAGGGCCGAGGTCCGAGCTACAAAGTAAAATTTCGGTTAATCTTCTCAGATAAAAAGCAAGGATTTCTCTCATCCCTCTAAAGGAAAATCTTTCTCTACTTACGGCTCGCTGGAGGGCTGATCCCTTTGAGGGTGTAGTTCGGCCGAGGATCTCCCCGGCGTCGGACCCTCTGACGAGGACTTTTCCCCCCGCTTTGAGGCCATGGTCTCTGGGTCGTCAGAGGCGGCCCTCTTCTTCCCTTAGGAGAGGAATTGTCGGTTCTTCCCTTCGGAGCAGCCTCCTTCGAGGAGGCCATAGTTTCCTTGTCCTCCCCCTCACTTCCCTCCAAAGGCACGATCTTCAACATCCTGACTAGCACGGGATCCGGCCTGGTCTCAGGAAGGGGAGCCGGACACCTGATCAGCTTTGCCTTCGCTATCCACTCCTGTTTAAAAGGACAACTCTTTTAGGGGCGAATTTATGACAATTTTACGGGTAGCGAGTCCGGGCGCAAGGTTACTTACTTGAGTATCCGGGCGATTGCAGCTTAAACCTGCGTCCTCGGTCAAATTCGGACACATTGCTTGTGATCCGAAGAACATTTTATACATCTCCACGGGCGTTGCGCCCATAAAATGCTGGAGAGCTCGTGGTCCCTCCGGATTAAACTCCCACAGACGAAGGGAGCGACGTTTGCCGGGCAGTGTTCGGCGAATCAGCATGACCTGTGTCACCTTGACCAGGTTGAGGTCTCTTTCTAAGAGATCCCTAATGCGGCCCTGCAACAAGGGCATGTCTTTGGATAGCCCCCAATCTAATCCTTTGTTGACCCATGACGCTAGCCGTGGTGGGGGACCCGAGCGAAAGGCAGGAGGCGCCACCCACTTGGTGCTCCTGGGAGCGGTGATATAGAACCACTCTCGTTGCCACAAGCCGAGCTCCTCTTGAAAGGAGCCCTCGGGCCATAGAGCATCAGCATTCTTACTTATGACAGCGCCTCCACACTCTACGTGTCGTCCCTCGATCATCTTTGGCTCCACTTCAAAAGTCTTGAGCCATAATCCGAAGTGAGGAGTAACACGGAGGAACGCTTCGCACACAACGATGAATGAGGAAATGTGGAGGATGGACTCCGGGGCTAAGTCATGAAATTCTAGCCCATAATAGAACATCAGCCCCCTCACGAAGGGATCCATCGGGAAGCCTAACCCCCGAAGGAAGTGAGACATGAACACTACGCTCTCACCGGGCTGGGGACTGGGAATAGCCTGCCTTTGAGCAGGCAACCTATGCAAAATTTCGGCGGTCAAGAACTTAGCCTCTCTCAACTTTAGCACGTCCTCCTCCGTGACGGAGGAGGGCATCCATCGGCCTTGAAGGTAGGAACCGGACATTGTCGAAGCTCCGAAGCGCCTGGAATCTAGAGCCTAGGGTGTTGGAACTCGAGGCGACGGGCGAACTTGTTTTGAGATTGGAGAAAAGGAGTAAGGCCATGGTCTCTTTATAAGAGGTTGAATACCAGGAGCCCTCCCCGTAACCGTTTGGGACTCGCCTTTAATCGAGAAGACATGCTAACGGGCACGATTGGGTTACCCACGTCCGTATTGATGAGAATCCCATAAATAAAGGGGACACGATCTCTGCTTTGACAAGACGTGCCAAGGAAACCGCCTCGCAAAACACGCTGAGGTGGAAAAATGAAAACGATTCGAATAAAGGCTTGGCCGTAGTGTGATGTCACGCTGCGGAATACGTCAGCGGATTAGATTTGTGTTAATATTATTCTCTCTGTGGCAATACGTGGAAACTTATTTTGCAGAGCCGGACACTACTCTTGGTGTTTACAAACTTTTATGAAGGATTTGGAGGAGGAACCCGCCTTGCAATGCCGAAGACAATCTATGTGCCGGACTCGTCGTCATTGAAGCCTGGTTCAGGGGCTACTGAGGGAGTCCTGGATTAGGGGCTGTTCGGGTAGCCGGACTATACCTTCAGCCGGACTCCAGGACTATGAAGATACAAGATTGAAGACTTCGTCCCGTGTCCGGATGGGACTTTCCTTGGCGTGGAAGGCAAGCTTGGCGATGCGGATATTCAAGATCTCCTACCATTGTAACCGACTTTGTGTAACCCTAACCCTCTCCGGTGTCTATATAAACCGGAGGGTTTTAGTCCGTAGGACAACTTCATCATACAACAACCATACCATAGGCTAGCTTTTAGGGTTTAGCCTCCTCGATCTCGTGGTAGATCTACTCTTGTACTACCCATATCATCAATATTAATCAAGCAGGACGTAGGGTTTTACCTCCATCAAGAGGGCCCGAATCTGGGTAAAACATCGTGTTCCTTGCCTCCTGTTACCATCCGGCCTAAACGCACAGTTCGGGACCCCCTACCCGAGATCCGCCGGTTTTGACACCGACAGTGGCGGTGGCGCTCTCCATCGTTACCCTCTTGGGTGCCTCGTCGGGGAACTCAGGTATCATCTGGTTATAGCTCTCCGTCGTTACCCTCTTGGGTGCCTCGTCGGGGAACTCAGGTATCATCTGGTTATAGCGTGCTGGTGCCTTCATGCTTGCTTTGCTCGTGGTGTGAAGCTTCTTCGGCTTTGGGTGGAGTGGATTCATTGGTCTCCTATCATTTACACGTATCCTCGCAGTCACAATCCTCGGTCCTCACTATCCGTTGGCAGGATCGAAACTCCACGGCCCGGAGCGAGAGGACATGCGCTTGCTCTATCCAACGACATCTTGGTGTGATCGGTGCGTCGGTGTCCCGTGGTTTCTCTAGGCAGTGCGGTTCAGTTTTGCTTCTGTAGTCTAGGTCGCCTCATATTAGTGTGGCGATTCCTTTTTTCTTTTTTCCTTTTTTTTGAGAACGCGATTCCTATTTTCTTGTTCGGCTGCGGGTTGGTCCCATCCTCGCCGCGACTGGTTTGTATGAAGTTTCACCTTGTATCGATTCGACCATTTGTGTTTTTTCTAGGGAGAAAGCCTGTTTTGTGTGGAAGAGCTTGAAAGTTCAAGCAAACAGACCAACCCACCATGGCACCATGTACAGGTGTACACCATGACGGATCGACCGATCGACGTGGCAGCCAGGTAAACCGAACGTGCGTTTCCCCGACCAATAGCGATGCTCCTTTTGATTCCGCATTATCCATGATCCAGATAACGCACATACGCCTCCCGGTCTCCCACTGGTCCATCTATCCAGTCTCCAGGCGCAAACGAATCGCAGCCGTCAGACGACGCAGCGGCGCCAACACGCGCCGTCCATCTGGACCTCCGGGCCCCAGCTCACCACACCCACAAATCACCGAAGCGCAGCTCAATACAAAGGGCCAAGCGCGCAGGTGCGGAGAGGCAGAACCACCACACACACGCACGCACTCTCACTCTCCTGCCGCGGTGCGCCGTACGTGCTCTCTAGCCAAGATGTCGTCGGTCAGTGCCCGCGCTCCCGTGGCCGCTCTCCGGCCGGCGGCGTCAGCGTCGAGCCCCCGGTTCCTGGGCGACTCCGGCCGCGTCGGCCTCGCCAAGTCCACGCGCCGCGACGTCGCCGTCCAGGCCAAGGGGTCGTGGCTCCCCGGCCTCCCCTCCCCTGCCTACCTCGACGGCAGGTGCATGGGAACATAACAATAACACATGATGCAACGCACATGCTGTATCTGTATGCTAATACTCTTTGTTGGATGGATGGATCAGCTTGGCGGGTGACAATGGGTTCGACCCGCTGGCGCTGGCGGAGGACCCGGAGGACCTGCGGTGGTTCGTGCAGGCGGAGCTGGTGAACGGGCGGTGGGCGATGCTGGGGGTGGCGGGGATGCTGATCCCGGAGGTGCTGACCAAGGCGGGGCTGCTGAACGCGCCCGAGTGGTACGACGCCGGCAAGGAGACCTACTTCGCCTCCTCCTCCACGCTCTTCGTCATCGAGTTCATCCTCTTCCACTACGTGGAGATCCGGCGGTGGCAGGACATCAAGAACCCGGGCTCCGTCAACCAGGACCCCATCTTCAAGAGCTACAGCCTCCCGCCCCACGAGTGCGGCTATCCCGGCAGCGTCTTCAACCCCCTCAACTTCGCCCCCACCCTCGAGAACAAGGAGAAGGAGCTCGCCAACGGTACCTCCCGAGTCCATCGTTCTCTGCTTGCTTCACCATCGTTAATTTCTAATCGGACGGCTCTTGTTAATCTTTGGATGTTTTTCGATTCGTTCAGGGAGACTGGCGATGCTGGCCTTCCTGGGGTTCCTGGTGCAGCACAACGTGACCGGCAAGGGCCCGTTCGAGAACCTGCAGCAGCACCTGGCCGACCCATGGCACAACACCATCATCCAGACCATCTCCGGCCAATAAATCCGTCGATTTCACCGACCGGGGAGGCTTCAGGTGGTCTGAATTGTTATTTTGGGGTGCTGAGGATGTACAAAGTGTGGAGGAGTAGGTGGACAGTGCAAAAATGTGTTGTAATCTTAAAAGCTCCGGTGGTGAAACTTTCTTCTTGTGGATTCGCCCATGGCTTCCGATGGAGGCTGGACTTGTAATATCACCCATGCGTGTTATTCTAAACATGGCAAAACATACTACTAGTTTGAAGCATTCGTCTCGAATTCGCTGTGATGATAGCAATAGTAAATCAAAGCTGAACTTCATACAAACACCGGACACAGATGTAGAACAGTGGAATCAAAGAAGAAGAAAAAGGATCCAGTATATCAAGTCACAGGTATACAACATCAGTCACAAAACTACAACTTTGTCGTATCGAATGTGCAGCAGCACAAGATTAGAGTCCTTCAAGGCTCAACATACAGTGCGTAAAAATTGGTTAAGAATTAAGATCCTATTGGAAGAGGCAGCCAACTGATTCAACCGAAAATTGAGAACTAATGTATGTATCCACATGAGCTTATCCTAATTAGCGGCTGCAAGTAACTCGGCACATTTCTTTTGTCGGTGCACTGCAGAAAACTCGGCGATCTACCCTTGGCACATACAATCCGGGGCAGGATAAGTATAGATAGACTGCTTCGGCTTCCTCAGCCGGATCTGCCCGTATCTACCTTTGTGGCCTGCCTGTACAGCCTGCTGAAACTCTGACCACTCCATGCTCTTGTTCGCAAATATGTGGCCAAGCAATGTCATGTTTGGCCTTATCGTCTTGAAATTCCTGTAGGCCCGGTGGGCCAGCTGAATCAACCATCATCTAGTCAGGACCAATAAAGAAAGCGGAAAAAACTAGGGAATACAGCAGAAGCCAACAGGTTTTACCAGTGCATTATGCATATTGCCAGGAGAAGCAGAGATGAAAACATCGCTGTGCATGCTGATATGGTAGTCAAGAGCTGCTAGCACAGAAGCCTTCCCTTCAACATTAGCAAGTTCATCTGCCGATGCAAGGCTCCTCTTGTCTTCCATCAGCGGGAAAAGTTTGCGCAAGCTAGAGATCCTAGCTTCCCCTCCATATACCTTAATAGGTGATGTATGTTAGAACTTTCTACTTCCACTATGGAGAATAAGCGAGTGCAGAGAGTCAAACCTTGTGAGAGGCAAGATAAAATCGAGTTGTGCTGTCAAAGCCAAGCGCTACTAGTATCAACCCAATCTCTTCTGGAGTCAACGGGCAGCGTCCTGTGTTTCGAAGCTCCTCATCACTTAACTGTGAATTTAATACCCTCCCTTGCCAGATAACTTGCCTGTACTTAGCCAGAGCTAATTTTTCAGCCCTACCACCGCCAAAGTCACAGGCAGAATGTGCAGCCATATCCTGAAAAATGTAGGTCAGCTTGAGATGTTTCAGAGTGGCAATTCCCTGAAGAGAACAAAAAAAAATACACATACGACTTCCAAATATTGCAGAAGCCCTTCCATTTACCTTATCGAAGCGGAGATGTAAAACTGCGTACTTTCCATCCTGATCTGTGTTTTCTTCTATGACTTGTTGGGCAAATTCAGTGGAATGCCCCTGGACTGGAGATCTCAAGCGCTTCTCAAGGGTCCTCCCCAATGAGATAATGTAAGGCACAAAAATCAGAGCTTCAAAGTTAACTTTACAGCGCAGGCGTTGAATGTCCACGGGCAAATCATCAAATGCAAGGCGGTGAGAAAAGGGGGCAATGGCTGCAATGCCATAGCTGACAAGGGATACAACACATACATGAGATTCTCGGTGAAGGATTCCCCTCACAAAGTAACCAACTATTGAAGTTAGATCACAAATTATAATGTTAATGCTACAAAGCCTGTTCAGTGGCCATCAACCTGGGCTAAACATGAACTGCAGTTTCTTAGCATTATTATGCCATGCAATATATGTCAAATACTCCCACTGTTCACAAATATAAGATGTTTTGGATATTCTAATATGGACTACATACGGACTGCAATGAGTAAACAAACAGACTAAAACGTGTGTACATACATCTGATTCAGAAAAAAGTTAGAACATCTTATATTTGTGAATGGAGGGAGTAGTAGTTTAGTTTTGCAACATGTGTCAGTACAAAGGGTACTGCAGACCTTCACTTATCAAGGGGTCAAGAGAAGTGACTATATGACCAAAGAAATCACAAACCTTTGCAGGATAGGACTGACATTCTCTATATACCAATTAGCTGAGGCATGAACAGGTGCAGTTTTTATTCTTGTAGCACGTATTCCTGTGCCATAGAACTCTCTTGTGCTCCACGCAAATTCTTTTGGTGGAGTTCTCACTATTGAAACCTCGCCTTTTAGGGTGTTAATAAAGTGATCCACATTGAAAATATCTCCGAATGAGCTGCAACACAACTAAAACTTTCACTTCCAATTTAACAGGAGAATAAAAAAACTAACAAGATACAGTAGTACGCTGAAACTTCAAAAGCACCTTGAGTCTTTCCAAACAGGGTTTACTTCAAGATGTGGAATCACAAGAGTAGCATTCAGAATCTTAGCAACCGCAACAGCATCACATATCTAGAGAACAAAAAGAAAGAGACAGATGATCTAAAATCTCAACCAAGCAAGTTGTCTTAAATCTAACATCATGAATCTGGTACATAAAAAGTGTGTTACCCCCATTCTTTGCTGGTTCAGGCCACCATCAAGAAATACTTGTATGTACCCACTAGGTTCCGAAGGTAACCCTACACTTTATATAACCAAATGCTTAGTGATCTGTCGCAGCTGGAGGCATATCATTACATAACCATGTTATCTCAGAGTGTTACCACGAGTAATCGATGATCTTATGCATGGTTTCCACCCCTGGTCAGGCAAGGGTGTCCAGATCTCTCTCTTTTGTTCATCTGGCTGTAACAGAAAGCAAGTTACAAATAGACTTCAACATAACTACTTCCATTTTTCATCTGAGTTTTGAATACTCACTATTGTCCATCGCAAAGACGCGTTCAAAAGAGACTTGTGCATTGGCTTAGGGGCATTCCACTCCTGCAATATACACGCTGTCCACATGATTAATCTTAAAAAGACAATATTGCAGTTTGCAGAAATACTTACTAAGGTCTACTTGAGTTGCCAATCTATCTTCATAACCATAGTAATCCAGCACATATGTTATTCCCGGTATTTTCATGTACTCATACAGTCCCACACTGCCGCAAAATGCATATGGAGTTGGTAATCAAACATTGTAGACCACTGCCCAAACCAAAATATTCGATGCAACTGGCATGATGCTATCCATCAAAAGAATCCAGATCTTCACATAGCTTGCACACTTTGCTTATTTACAGGTAACTCTGCGTCAACATACATACACCAACTAAACTAATGTAATTTCTTAACAACGAGAGAGAGAAAATTCATGAATTCACCACACCATTTCGCCCTGCACATGCCGGACTCCCCAACCGTACCAATCCGTCTACTATCCAAGACCCCACAGGATCGGACTCGGGAAAGTGGCAAACTAGCAAGGAGAAGCGTAGGAAGCAGCTAGAAAAGCAGAAAATCGCCAACGCCAATACGACGCTACACCGGCTCAAATCGAACCGCCTGGAGAGGGGGATGGGACTAGGGGACGCACCGAGAATAGGGAAGGGAAGGCGCGGCCGAGCGGGGAGAACAGCGCGGGGAAAATAGCCGGGAGGAGCACGACAGCGGCTGCGGCAGCCAACACCGGGCCCCTCGCCGGAGGCGACGAAGCCGACGGCCGCCGCATCTCCCCCGTCTCAGGTGCGAAGACCAGGTGGAAGGGATGGACTGACCTGACTGAGCCCGGCTACGAGGTGGAAGTGGGCCTACTGTGTTCAAAATTGGCCCATCCATTTCGTCGGACGGGAGAATGGAGCAACTAGTTAACAAGCGCTCCTTCGAAAGCTTCACAACAATCAGCACCATTTGGCGCGCTCTCAGTCATTCGCCACGTGTCGCACTTTGGACGCTCTCTTCGGATTTTATTTTTTTTATTTTTCCGCACACGTTTTCGGCTTTTTAAATGGTTTTTTCGGTTTTTCGACGTTTTGGTTTCCCCCCGGTCTTTCTTAGCTTTTCGAACAAAAAAAATCGAAAAAAAAATCATGAAAAAGCATGTTTTCTTTTTTTTCCTTTCGCGAAAGTCACGGTTTTTCTTCCGCGAGAGGCACGGTTGTGCTTTATCGAGAGTCACGGTCGTGCCTTTCGGAAACGAAAAAAAACGCGTTTTCTATTTTTTTTCCTTTCATGAGAGTCACGGTTTTTCTTCCGCGAAAGGCACAATTGTGCTTTCGCGAGAGTCACGGCCGTGACTCTCGGAAAGGAAAAAACAAAACGCGTTTTTTGTTTTTTTTCTTTCGTGAGAGTCACGGTTTTGCTTCCGTGAGAGGCACGGTTGTGCTTACGCGAAAGTCATGGCCGTGCCTCTCGGAAAGGTAAATATACGCGTTTTCTATTTTTTTTTCTTTCGCGAGAGTCACGGTTTTGCTTTCGCGAGAGGCATGGTTGTACTTTCGCGAGAGTCATGGTCGTGCCTCTCGGAAACGGAAAAACGCGCTTTCTGTTTTTTTCTTCCACGAGAGTCACGGTTTTGCATCCACGAGAGGCACGGTTGAGATTTCACGAGAGGCACGGGCGTGACTTTTTCGAAAAGGGAAAAAACCGTGCTCCCGGTTCGGTTTTTCCGCCCGGTTTTTTTTGACTGTTTTTTTTCGTGAAAAAAAGTTCGTCAAAAACTATCAACATGGGATCTAGTTTTTAAGATCTCGATGCGAGGAATCCAATGGTGAAAACGGTTCGAGATTTAGACGCACGGTTTAAGAGATAAAACGTTTTGAATAAACGGATCTACGAAAAAAGGGAAAACTCCCAAGTTACGACAAGTGGCGCGCTGCATGTACGCCACTTGTCGCGACCTGGGAAAATGGAGTATTCTTTGCAACGAGTACTCCTTAATTAGTGATTTCGGGACTTCTGTCAGGGAAGGAATATCACATGATACCATCGTTCTAGTGCTACCATGATACCAGTTTGAAAATTTCAATTTTAGACGTGTCAATTTTTTATAAAAAAAATTGTGAATGTTCATCACATATGTGTCTACTATCCCTAAAAGATTCAGATCAAAATACGAAATACATAAAAAGAAACAAAAAAGAGAAATCCAACATGAATAGTGTCAATAAAGACGAAAGGATGAATAGTGTCAAAAATGACACTACTCACATCTATATTTGTCTTTTTTGTTTCTCTTTGTGTATTTCACATTTTGATCTGAATTTTTAGGGGATGCAGACATATATGTGATGAACATTCATAATTTTTTTTGAATTTTTTTGACACATCTAAAATTGAATTTCTCAAACTGGACATATCCAAAGCCTTTGATTCCGTCTCATGGGCGTTCCTGCTGCAACTTCTGAGCTTCAGAGGTTTGCAGTCTGACCTGGAGTGATTGGATTTCATTCAAACTTGCTGGCCACATCTTCAACAAAAATAAATGTCGACAATTGACAAACTGGGCAAGTGGGTGTCTGGATGGCATGGCCAAATTTTCTCTAACTATGAGAAGTTTGTGCTTGTTCGTAAGGTCCTATCTGCTATCCTTGCTTTCTAGATGATGGTGACTATTGTAAACAAGTGGGATGATGCACAGCTGAACAAACTGCGCATCTCTTTCTTTTGGGACGAGAATGGTGAGGCATCGGCTGCCAAGTGTTTGATGGCATGGATAAGGATATGCAAGCCTTTGGATTTTGGCGGGCGAGGTATTGCCGACCATGAGAGATATAGTTGTGCTCTGCGCCGCCGTTGGTTATGGCTCAGGTGGACCGAGGAGGACAAACCGTGGCGTGATCTCCCTCTACCTATTGACGATCAGGTTAGGTCATCGCCCTGTTTCAAGCCTCAACTCTGGTCACTATCGGTAATGGAGAGAAGATGGGCCTGTTTGGATCGTAGCCCTGACGTGCCCGACCAAATATTTGGTCGTTGACCGGAGCGACGGCACGCGTTTGGTTCAGATCCGATTATTTGGCTCGCCCTAGCCTCGCATGCCCTTCCCTTCTATTGTGCAGCCAATTATTTGGCAAGGCGCCGGCGGCCGTTTCCTCCGCCAAAATTTTGGCATGCCACTGATTGGCAGGGTGGCCGCAGGCATAATCCAAACGGCCCCGATATCCTTCTGAGATGATCACTGGTTGAGCAGCGGCCCTCCCAATTCAAGAAGTTGTTTCCTTCCCTATTCAAGCACAACAAGAAGCATAGGAGCTCACTCAAGGATGTTATTCATGATAACAACTGGCTGGATGTCAACAATTAAACCGTTGCCGCCAATCGAGGCTCTGCGTGATTACATTATGTTGTGGAGTGCCGTCCAGAATATTCAGCTTTCGCCCCACCCTGACAAGATCACATGGAAGTGGACGGTTGATGGCTCCTACTCCGTTGCATCCGCATAGAAGATTCAGTTCATGGGCGGTGTTCAATCTAATCTGAAGGTACTGATTTGGAAGGCTCCGGTACCAGGAAAATTAAGGCTCTCCACGTGGATGGGTGTCCAGGGCCGCTGCCTCACGACGGACCTACTCGCGAAGAGAGGTTGGCAACACAACCCGTTCTGTGCTCTCCGCAGATGCCACACTGAGACCGCCTTGCACTTACTATTCATGCACTGCTCTTTCTCCCTGGAGCTATGGAAGAAGGCTTTTCAAACTTCCATCATTCCCTTGGACAGGCTGCCTACAGTCGGAACTCACTCTTTTAGGCAATGGTGGGAGCAGGGATTTGATTCATTTGCCAGGAGGGACCTGAAGATGAAGTGGTCTTCCACGATTACTGTGGTGGCCTGGTTCATTTGGACTGAGCGTAACGCCGGGATTTTCAGGGGCATGGCCACCAGCGTTGCTTCTCTGATGCAGTGTGGCGGTAATTTCCTGGGATCCCTATGAGATATGCGTTACATGCGCGCGGGAATCGGGGAGTTTGTCGTGGAATTGTCACGGCAGATGTCCTAGTGTGAGGACTTAGTCGTGAGACCAACGTATCTATGTGGTAGCTTGAGAGGGGTTGATCGGGATCGAGAGACGCAACACAAGACAAGGGTTTAGACAGCTACGGGCCTCGGGAAACATCATCCGGTAACAACCCTACATGCTATTTGTGGCTAGGTCTCATTATCATCACGAGGGAGTCGCTGTATCTCCGGCTCTCCTAATTGTGTCTAGACTTAACGATTATTCAACTTGTCCCTCTTGGGGTGCCCTGCCCCTCCTTATATAAGTTGAAGGGGCGGGTTACATGTAGAGTCCAACTCAGATTAAGACTTAAACTATTCTAACTTCTCATCACGGGCTTCTTTCCGTGGGCTTCTTAACGTCTTGGGCTTCTTACAATCTGGCTTACCATCTGGCTTACCGTCTGGCTTACCGTCTAGCTTAACATCTCCCGGCTTAACATCTTAAACATCTGCCGACTTAACCATCTTAAACGTCTGCCGACTTAACCATCTTAAACATCTGGCTTAAACATCTGCCGACTTAACCATCTTAAACATCTGGCTTAAACATCTTCCGACTTAACCAATGAAATACCAAGTCCCAGCCGGGTCATATCTCCGGTCGGGTCATACCGCGGGGTACATCCCCAACATTAGCCCCCAGTTTAATTTGGATTTATCCATGTTAAACTGATCCTATAAACAAAACACAAGAACAATTTTAACAGGTTATCCTCTGGGTTAAATATTCTTGTAAGCCGGCACCTAAACATCCTTAAGTCCCTGTCATTTCGTTCTTCTAGGAAATCCGGGTCAATAAGCCAACTCCATAATCAATTTGCTGACATTGGTTTCTTCTAGAGAAAAATTGTGAAGAATAATTCATTTGACTCGGCTGGCAGTGACATGGGACTTCCATATTTGATGTAATCATGATTTGAGTAATGTAGCCCCCAAGTGCGGGGTCGTAAGCTTGCAGCGACTCGGGACTATTCCTTTCATTGTAGAATAAATCATATCCATTGATAAAATAATAGCCATTGCTCTAAAACGACTTTGAAAACCTCAATTATAATACTGGTTATTGATAACCATAATAAAAATCCAACCATGTTGGCTATTGAAGATTTGAATAATATAACCCAGTATGAAAACCTCAATCGTTCAATATCATCATGAAAATCCAGCCAAGTTGGGCTATTATCATATACTGGCGACTTAAAGTCTGCCACCCTGGCGGGTTGTAGAAACCCAACAGATGCTTCAAATATGAGCCAGAAGTAGGGCAGCTGGGCCTGATTTGTAAAAAAACAGAAGTCAAAGGAGAAATCTTTGAATATAAATGAAAAATCAAAAGAAATTCGAGGCTTTTGGGGCTGCCAAGCCAAAGTGTCTTCTTCAATGAAACTAGCCTGAGCCAATGGATTGTTCGTGCGTTCCGTGAGCCTGACTCACAGTGTTCCCTGATACGTCTTCGTCGTATCTACTTTTCCAAACACTTTTGCTCTTGTTTTAGACTCTAACCATGATTTGAATGGAACTAACCCGGACTGACGCTGTTGTCAGCAGAATTACCATGGTGTTATTTATGTGCAGAAACAAAAGTTCTCGGAATGACCTAAAACTCCACGGAGCTTATTTTTGGAAATAATAAAAAATACTGGCAAAAGATCAAGACCAGGGGCCCACACCCTAGCCACAAGGGTGGGGGCGCGCCCCCTACCTCGTGGGCCCCCTGGAGCTCCTTCGAC